GAGTCCAGCGATGTAACCATTATCCCATCTGCTGGTCCCTGTTCTGTTTTGAGTACTTAAAACCCTGACATGATCTTGGTACTCTGGTCCATCCCCAGCTTCAGCTGGCTTGGGTCATGGGCACATGTGTGCCTGAGGTTTAGAGAGGTTTGCAGGTGTGAACCAGCAACTACCCTCTATGGGTCAGCCTGGCAGAACATCATGTTTGACTGTTGTACCACCGACTGGCCTCACTTTGGGTCTTTCTTGTTCTGTTGATTCATACAGTTGCCCCTGGTTATCCATGATGAATTGGTTCCTCAAATCAGCTATTGTTTTAGATTTTTAAAATTTTTACTTGTTCCTTCTGTAATGTTCCTACTTGCCCCTCCCCCCCACCTCTTTTTATTTAGGTTTTTGCCATAGAGTGCATATGATTGCTGGAGAGAGAGGGAAAGTAAGAAATCAGCCCTCACCCCGGGGAGAGGGTTGGCCACACCACAGTCCCTTTTCTCCTCCATTCTCTACTCTGGATTTTGGGCACATACACACACACACACACCCAGTGTAAATGTCAAGTCACCAGGCCCAGAACTCAAACTGCAGTCAGCCATGTGGAAGTTCAGTGCTTTAACTATCATGCCACCTGCTGGCCTCTAGAATCAGTTTTTTAATTTTTTTTTTTTTTAAGCTTGCTTGGGTCCAGCAGGTGGCATGGAAGTTAAGGAGGCTAGATTTCACATAGCCGACTCCATGGTTTGAGTCCTGGCCCTGGTGGTTTGAAATTAATCCTGAGAGGAGAATGGAGGAGAAGGGATTGTGGTGTTGCTATCCCTCCTGGGGAGTGATTTTTCACTTTTCCTCTCTCTCTGTTGGTCTCTCTCTGTCTCATGCACCCTATAAAAAAAAAAATAGCTTGCTTGAATTTTGATAAACATATCATATAATTTATAGATTAAATTGGAGAGAACAGACATATTAATAATATTAAATCCTCTATTGCATGATGTATATCTCCCCCATATACATGGGACTTCTTTGCTTTCTTTCAACATATTGTAGATTTTGGTGTAGAGGACTTATACACCAAAGGTTTTTGTTCTTTTTGATGCTATTATAAATGTCAGTTATAGTGTTCATTGACAGTATATAGAAAAACAGTTGATTTGGGGCCAGCTGATGGTGTGGTAATTAAGGCGCCTGTATACCACATGGTTCTAGTCCCAGACCCAGGTGGGTAAATATGTGCCCAATATCCCAGCAGGAGGGAGAAATGGAGAAGAGATTGTGGGGGACCAGTCCCCATGGAGGATGTTTTCTCACTTTCCCATTCTCTTTTATTCATCTAGTTCAACACATACTGTGGCAAAATTAAAAAAAAAAAAAGAAAGATAATGATTATTAAAACTGTTGTACATATCAATACAAGTAAAAATGTTGAAGTGCTATTTTTTAAAAAAAATTATTCATTCATTTTAATTTGACCAGAGAGAGAGGGAAAATGAGAAAAGAAGCCACCAGGGCCAGGACAGGAACCTTGATTAGCCAAGTGGGAGTGTCCAGCACATTAACCATCATGCCACCTGCTGGCCCCAAAGTGCAATTTTTTTTTACCATGTTCTTATTTCTTTTTTCCTAGAAAATTTGTTTGTCTTGTTTTGCTTAGCTAGTAATTTTTTTTTTTTTTGAGAAGTTTTTGCTATAGGGCGCGTGCGCTCACCAGACAGACAGAGAGAGACATAGAGACAGAAAGCGAGAAATCACCCCTCAGGGGGGATGGTCACACCGCAATCCTTTCTCCTCTGTTTTCCTCTTGGGATCTTGGGCACGCACACACACGTGCCCGGTGTGAGTTTTAAGCCACTGGGTCTGGGACGCGAATCGTGGTCGACTACGTGGGAGTCCAGCAACATAGCCATTACGCTAACTGCTGGTTCCCTAGCTAGTAAATTGTTGTGCTAGACAGCAGAAGGGTCAAGATGTAAATTTGAAGACCAGAGAAGGCCATAGGTGACTTGAGATATAAAAGTACATTGTGCTGCACTGAGAAGAAATAAAAGTTCTGATGGGGTGGGTAAAGGGTGAATGAAACAGAAATTGGCAGGAGAATAGAAAGAGTATTATTCACACTTAACTGAGAATCAGGAAAACAGATGAGGAAAGAGGATGTTTCATATTTATTAAATATGCTGTGTACTATTATTTCTTCTTAACTGCTTTCTTAAAAATGTTTTATTTGGAATCAGCAGATGGCGTAGCAGTTATGTCACATGGCCCACAATGGTTCACGACTAGGTGGTTTGACAATCATGCAGGGCGCATGTGCGTGTGTGCCCAAGATCCTGGGAGGAGAATGGAGGAGAAGGGATTGTGGCGTGGCCATCTTCCCTAGGAGTGATTTCTCATTTCCCTCTCACTGTCTCTCCTTCTCACTGGCGAGCACATATGTCCTAAGGCAAAAACCTCTGGGGGGGGTGGGGGGACCTTTTATTCATCAATTTTTATGGCTTTTTGTAGTTACGGTTTGTTTCTTTTGGCTCTGATGTTATGCTGAGCTTGGATTTATTGTGAGGCTGGATTTATTGTTATTGCAACTATAGTTTCTTGGCCCATATTATTATTATTTTTAAGGAATTATTTAAATTTATTTATTCATTCATTCATTCATTTAAACTTAATCGGAAAGGGACAGAACGAGAGAGAGAGAGGGAGGGAAAGTGAGAGAGCAACCTGCTAGGTCCGGGACTAGAGTTGGCCAGGTTGGAGTCCAGCACCTTTAACCACCGTGCCACCTTTTGGCCCTGGGACATATTATTTTTAATTTTTATTATTTGCAAACAGCTCAGTGGGTCATGATTGGAAGCACACTTTACTAACTTTGAAACCGGTATGCAAGAGTGTGTCATTTGGCTATTGAGTGCAGTAGATTATATGCAGGCATGCCTGTCCCTATATTTTAGAAAAGTTGTGAAGCAATTTTCATAAATTAATAAAAAAAATTAACACCTTTTGTTTTTGTGGGAAAATAGTCTTTGAGTTTAAGAGAGCCAGATTTAATGATTGTTGGGAAGGTAATCCCCTTGTGGTACAAGAATATGTATAGGACACAGCAAGCTGTCAGTGAAACCTGTGGAGAAAGTTAGGAGGGGCCTACAAAGACATTTCCATGTTGGCGTTTCTGGGAATCAAGATTATTGTCACATAAAAGACTATGTGATTTTGGGATCAGCAGGTGGTGTGGTAGTTAGGGTGACTGAACTCCCACGTGACCAATGAGGTGACTGGTGACTTGCTTTCTCACTTTTCCTTTTCTCTCTGGTCAACTTCCAGGAAATAAAATAAAGACAATGAAGAACACTAAAAAAAAAAAAAAAAAAAAAAAAAAAACCCTATAAAATTTTAATTCTGGGGAACTTGCTGACTGAAAAGATGATTAGACTAGATAGCAGAAGTTATGCATTATGCCAGTTGTGCCACTTGCTAGCTGTTGAATACATGACCGTGACGGAGTCATATCACAGCTCTGAGCTTCCTATTTCTCTTGTAAAGAGGACTGAGAACTTTGGATCTGCCAGGCTCTCATTATGTCGTACAGATTGTGCTCAAGACAGGATGGCTATCTGGTTAAGGGAAGAGAAGGTTGGGGCTGACATCCAGGCTATTCTGTGTGACAAGCTGTATGTCTTAGCGTGGGTCTGTGCATCCAAGCAGACATACCTTTTTTCCCCTTTCTCTCTTCTTTTTAAAGAATTATTTATTTATTATTATTTTATTTTTATTTAAAAATTTGCTACAAGGCACATGCATTCACCAGATACAGACAGAGAGAGAGAAAGTGAGAAAGCAAGTCACCAGGTCTGGGACTTCAACCATGGTCAACCATGTGGGAGTCCACCGCCTCAACCACCATACCACCTGCTGGCCCTTTTCCTCCTTTTTTTTTTTTTTTTTTTTTTTAGAGAAATTTTTGCTTATAGGGTGTGTGCATTTGCCAGTGACAGAGAGAGAGACAGACAGACAGACAGACAGACAGAGAGAAGGTGAGAAATCATCCTCCATGGGACGAGCAGATGGCATAGCAGCTATATCACTGTATTCCCAAATGGCTGACTGTGGTTCAAGTACCAGTCCTGGAGCTTGAAAATCATGACAGGCTTGTGTGTGGACCCCCCTAGGGGGGTGATTTCTCACTTTCCTTCTCACTGTATCTGTCTCTCTTTCCCCAGCAAGTGTACATGCCGTAAGACAATAAAGAAAGCCTTTTTATTTTTTTATTTTTTGAGAGGTTTTTGTTACAGGGCATGTGCACTTGCCAGAAAGACAGAGAGAGACAGAGAGATAGAAAGCGAGAAATCACCCTCAGGGGGAATGGCCATGCTGCAATCCCTTCTCCTCCATTCTCCTCTCGGGATCTTGGGCATGCATGTACACGTGCCCAGCGTTAGTTTAAGCTGCCAGGTCTGGGACTCGAACCATGGTCGACTACATGGGAGTCCAGCAACATAACCATTATGCCAACACATAGCCATTACACCAACTGCTGGTCCCAAAAAGCCTCTTAAAAAAAAAAAAAGAAAAAAAGAATTTACCCTCCAGAGGGTTTGACCACACTGAAATTCCTTCTCCATTTTCCTCTGGGGATTTGAGCCACACATGCACACACGCCTGGCTTGAGTTTCTAGTCACTGGGTCTGAGGCTTGAGCCACAGTAGGCCATGTGGGAGTCTTACTGCCTTAACCACTGTGCCACCTCCTGGCTCTGGCACACCTTTTTCAAATTCTCACAGAGGCCCATCTATTTGCCAGGGAGTGCACAGCAGCACTGCGTCTTCCAGTGTGGGGAGTAGAGATGAGACACCATTAATTTGCTCAGAGACGCGATATGGGCAGTGGTGGATTTGTCTGTCTTCCCTGCAGGACTGTGATAGAGAACAATGAAATGCATGCGAAAGTGCTTCAAAAATACAGTGTTACAGAAATGTAATGTCTTGCTTTTGCTGTTCATTTGTGGTTTATTTTAGGGTAGATACAACAAGAATCGAATACTCCATTCCTTTAAGAGAAAACTGGGCACTACCGTATTTTGCATGCCAAGTTGCTGCACTTACAGGCTATTTAAAAAGCAACTTAAATACTTATGCAGAGGTAAGGCACAAGTCTGTTTTGTCTATCACAGTTAATTTTGGTGTATTGTAACTGTGGTACATAATTTAAAGCTAGTCATACTGAGTTAAGTCATAGTCAGTGAAGCCTGGTCACTACATAATAAAGGATAGTTAGGTAATTTTCTTATAGCTCTGTTATTCTGTACTCTGATCAACAATAAATTTTTTAAAAGGAATTATTTATTTTATTCTATTTGTTATTATTATTATTTTTTTTGGGGGGGGAGATTTTGTTATATGGTGTGTGTGCTTGCCCGAGAGACAGAAAGAAAGAAATCACCCCCCAGGGGGGAGTGCCACACTGCAATCCCCTCTCCATTCTCCTCTTAGGATTTTGGGCACACATGTACATGTTCCTGGTGTGAGTTTTAAGTTGCCAGGTCCAGGACTCAAACTGCGACCATATGAGAGTCCAGCAACATAACCATTATGCCATCTACTGGTCCCACTATTATGTTTTTAATTTGACCAGAGAGAGAGACAGAGAGAGAGAGAAAGGAAAAGCAAGAAAGTAAGTCACCAGGTCTGGTACTCCATGTGTAAGTCCAGTGCCTTAACTACCATACCACTTGCCAGCCCTGACAGCAGTGTTGGCTTTGATGTTACTGCTACATAGTCTCTGTTCACGCTCCTGTTTTCTGTGACTAAGGTTTAGGTAGATTAGTGAATGTTTCTGTATACTTTCAGACATTTAGATTCTTTGTTGTTTGTGTTGCCACAAACCCTGTTGGTAGTTAGGTGAAGCCTGTAGAGTCTGACTCAGAATAATGTGTGTGTGTGTTTTTTTTTTCTTTTTTTAAAAATTTACGTATTTGATGAGTGAGCAAAAGTGACAGAAAGACAAAGAGAGGCACTCCAAATAGGGTCCTCACACCACCTGACCTACATCATGGGAACATGCATGTGTGGGGAGTGTTCAGGGAGGTCCCGGGACATTAACCCAGAAGCTTTCCCTGTGTGTGTCTAGTCATATTACCATTGCAGCTCTGCCTGCTCCCCTTCAGAACAGTGATTTTAAGTGCATTACAAACAACTAAATGTGATAACAGGGGCAACCAATTACATAGAAATGGCTGAAAGGAGGCAATCCCTTGATATTCTGACTATCTTGGGTTAAGAATTCCAGGCTAGAAAGAGACCAGAGAAACCAAAGAAGGGCTTCTGTTAAAACATGGCTGTCTCCACAACAGGATGCTCTTAGTTTTTTGAGATTCATAAAAGGAACTGTTCTTTTTTTTTTTTTTAATAATTATTTTCAATTTTTTATTTATTCATTCATCTATTTTTAAAATTTGACCAGAAAGAGACAGAGGATGAGAGTGAAGGAGAGAGGAAGTGAGAAAGCAAGCTACCAGATTCAGGACTCGAACCCTGGTCAGCCATGTGGGAGTGTTCAGTACCTTAACCACCACGCCACCTGCTGGTCCCAGGAACTGTTCTTATTTCAGTGGTGAAAAAAATGTCTTGAGCATAGCAGATTTTAATTTTTGTAACTCTTAATTTTTCTTCTTTACATAAAATAACATGAGCACGTTTTAGATTTGTATTTTCTTCTTTGTTGTATTTGTAGAAAAAACTTTCTAAGCAAGGATATTTTTTACAACAGTCAGGGAGTCTATAATTCAGTGTTTTCATATTAAGCTCTGCAGCTGTCTCCTGTTCTTCAATATTTGAATGGAAGAGTTCAGTATAGCCAAAGCAACTGCCTTAACTTCTTTATATTTATTTTTATTTTAAACTAAAATTAAATTTCTTTTGCCTAAAATAGGGCTAATTAACTGTTTCTTTTTTTCTGTTTTTTTTTTTTTTTTGGAGAGGTTTTCGCTATAGGGCACGTGTGCTCGCCAGAAAGAGAAAGACAGAGAGACAGAAAGCAAGAAATCACCCCTCCAGGGGGGATGGCCACGCCGCAATCCCTTCTCCTCCGTTCTTCTCTCAGAATCTTGGGCACGCATGCACACGCACCCGGCATGAGTTTAAGCTGCTGGATCCGGGACGCGAACCACGGTCAACTACATGGGAGTCCAGCGACAGCCATTACGCTAACTGCTGGTTCTCTGGTTTCTTTTTTTAATCATATGTATGGACAACCATCACTGTGATCAAGATACAGGACAATTCTGTCACTCCCAAGAAATGCCCTCATGTTACCTTTGATAGTCACATCCTTCCCCCAGCCCTGACTTGTGGTTACTACTGATCTGTTCTCTATCACTATGTAAGTGGAATCATATAGTAACCCTTCAAGATTGCTTTGTTCACATCCTGATGTCTGTGATGTCATCTGAGTTGCTGCATGTATCAATACTTTGACCTTGCCATCTATGAGTAATATTCTAGCAACTTTTAACTTTAATTTAATTTTCTTTTTAAAGGGTTTTACCATTGGGTATGTGCACTTACCAGAGAGGGAAAGTGAGAAATATCCCCTGGGGGGATAACCGTGTCACAGTCCCTTTTCCTTCATTCTCCTCTCAGAATTTTGGGCACACATGCGCATGTGCCTGGTATGGTTTTCAAGTCGTCAGGTGTGGGGCTCAAACCATAGTTGGCCATGTAAGAGTCCAGTGCCTTAACCACTATGCCATCTGCAGGCCCACAACATGCATTTTTTAAAATTTTAATTATTCATTCATTCATTTTTAATTTGACAGAGAGAGAGACACAGAGAGAGAGAGAAAGAGGGGAAGTGAGAAAGGAAGCCCCCAGGCTGGGACTTGAACCATGGTCAGCCATGTGGGAGTGTCCAGTGCCTTAACCACCATGCTACCTGCTGGTCCCCACAACATGTATTTTTAAAATTACATATTTTATACTTTGCTTTCATTTTTGAGACTCCACCTTGTAGTCTCAGTCACGTTAGGATATCCAAGCCTAGATCTTCTGTGCAGTCATCCAGAGGCATCTGTGCTTGATTACTGAACCTGTTTGATATGTCCCTTAAATCATTTGTGTAACAATTATACTGCAGGACAGTGAAAGTAAAGTTGTGAGCAAGGTAAGGGGGATGGATAGGGCTCCACAGAACTTTGAAAATGTTCAGGGAAAGGAAAAACTTAGCTGATTTTCCAGTCTGTGTTTAACATATGTAGGCTTATCTTTAAGACTTAGAGTAGTTTAAGAATAAACCCTTAGGGGGGGGCTGGCAGGTGGCATGTTGTTTAAGACACGTGACTGTCACAGGCCGACCGCAATTTGAGTTCCATACCTTGTAACTTGCTCTCTTTCTCTTTCTCTCTCTCCTCCCCTCCCCATCTCTGTCTGGTCAAATTGAAGAAGAACAATAATAAATAAAATTACATGAATAATTCTTTAAAAATATTTTTTAAAGAAGAATGAACTCTTGGAATTAGTAGTTTGTTTTATTACGTTGTAATTTTTCCCCAGGATCTCAAAGTAATTAAACCTTCATTGAGTTCTGATACTGGTTTCTCTAGGGTTGGTGGGTTCAGGCCTTATTATTTATTATTTATTATAGTTCTGGTTGTTCCACACTGGAAGATTTCCAGAACCCTTGCCCTATTTGCAGCTGGTGCTGTTTGATCAACCTGTGGAATTTTACCATCTGTTCCATTTTGTTCTCTGATCTTAATCTTACCCAGGATGCTAGGAAATTCTTTTATCTGCTAATGGCTGAGGTATTTCTGATTATAGAGTTTATCATCGAACATAGTCAACTGAATATGAAAGACTGAGTTTTAGAAAACAGAGTTCTTAGATTTCTTGACCTGACCTTTACTTTCCTTCTCCTTTATTGTTCTTATTCAAACGAGGTGGTTGGACACTACAGCTAGAAGAGGAATTGGTACTAAAAAAGTAGATCTGCACAGGAAGGAGAGACCATTGTTGGACATCTGCCGTGGGTCAGTGGATTTGTCACAGGCGTGGTTGCGCACTTAGGAGAGGACATTTAGAAGGACAGAATTGGTTTTAGCCGGGCATATTTAGGCAAGGGCAGAGAAATCCTGTGCTTAGTGTTTAGTAGAGGAAAACAGCTGAGAGTTTATGTGGTTGACAGTACACACACTAGGGACGGGAAAGCCACCCTTTTGTTGAGACAGAATGATAAAAGCAAAGGTCCAGGCTGTGGAATAGACTGAGACAAAAACAGTCTGTTTAAATTGAAGTGCTTAATATGAAGCACCATGAAAGTGAAAATGTTTTGGGGGCAAAAAGAGTTGAGTTACTTCCTCATAACAGAAGCACACCAGCCGAGTCTAGTAAAAGCCACCATTTTCTTATGCTTATTTCTTTACTACTTGGAAAAATGTAAGAAAATCATACTGAGTTTTCTTTTTTTTCCTTTGTCTTCCTGAAGTTCTCTGTATGATGTTGAATACCACAGGAAAATTGGTTGATTTCTCTCTAGATGTCTTAAGATCTTACTGCTGTTAGAAGGATTTAATAATAACTATGCAGGGCCAGCAGGTGGCATGGGAGTTAAGGTACTGGACTCCCATGTGGTGGACCACAGTTCAAGTCCTGAATCTGGCTTGCTTTCTCTCTCTACCTTTCTCTCTCTGTCTCTGGTCAAAATTAAAAAGTAAATAAGTAAAATAATTAATCATTTAAAAAATTATTATTATTTTATTTTAAAACTAAGTTTTAAGAGTTAAAAAGTTTAAATTTGAACCAATAACAGAAGTGGGCCTTTGAGATAACCTCATTTTTATAGGAATAACACTATTGATACTTAGTTTCTTTCTTTTGTTTTCCCTAGAGGTTTTGCTACTTGTTGATGAGTGCTTCAACTTACACATTTATGATGATGTGGGAGTATAGCCACTATCTCCTGTTTCTTCAAGCAATATCTCTGTTCTTGCTAGATGTCTTTTCACTGGAGCAAAGTGACAAGGTATTACATTATTTTCAAATCATATTAAATCCAGAGACTATTTTATAATGTTACATCTCTTTTCCTTTATTCCATATGCTATTCAGATGGTTCAGAACCCTGAGTACCAAATTAATTTTATTTGATCACAGATGATTTTTTTTTTTTTTTGGAAAGGTTTTCGCTATAGGGTGCGTGCACTCGCCAGGTAGACAGAGATGGACAGAGAGACAGAAAGCTAGAAATCACCCCCCGGGGGGATGGCCACACCGCAATCCCTTCTCCTCCAGTCTCCTCTTAGGGTGCCCCTTGGGCATGCATGCACACGTGCCCGGCATGAGTTTTAAGCTACTATGTCTGGGATGTGAACCACAGTCGACTACGTGGGAGTCCAGTGACAGCCATTACGCTAACTGCTGGTCCCTTTTTTTTTAAGAGAGATTTTTGCCAAATGGTGCATGTGCTTGCAAGAGAGACAGAGACAGAAAGTGAGAAGTCATCCCCTACAGGGGATGGCCACACCACAGTCCCTTCTCCTCTATTCTCCTCTTGGGATTTTGGGCATACACACACACACACACACACACACACATACACACACACACACACACACACACACACACACACCCCTAGCATGAGTTTTAAGCTGCTGAATCCAGGATTCATACTGTGGTTGACTACATGAGAGTCCAGCAGTGTAAGCATTACACCATCTGCTGGTCCCAAACAGAGAAGATTTAACAAAAAGGATTACTTTTTTAAATAGATAACTCTTTTTAAATTTTATTTATTATTATTATTATTATTATTTTGCTATAGGGCACATGTGCTCACCAGAGTGAGACAGAGAGAAAGTGAGGAGAAAAGCTACCAGATCCGACTTGAACTGTGGTCAGGCATACAGGTATCCAGTGCCTTAACCACTATGCCACCTGCTGGTCCCATTGTGCCCTTTTTTGGAAAGTAGTCTTGACCTCTTAAGGATTTTTTTTCTTTCTTTCTTTCCTTTGTTTTTGTGTTTCCTCTGCCTTCAGTTTTTCCCCTTAACTAATGCTGTTTTGTCTTAGTTTTCCCTTTGCAAAATTAATTAATTTCATAGTATATTAAATTATGGGGCACCTGAGTGCCAGCAGGTGGCGTGGTGGTTAAGGTGCTAGACTTCCACATGGCCAGTCAAGGTTCAAATTCTGGACGTGGTGGCTTGAAAAATCAACCTGGCTGTATGTGCACATGTGGCCGGAATCCCTGGAGGAAATTGGAGGAGAAGGGATTGCGGTGGTGTCACCCCCCCGAGAAGTGATTTCTCACTTTCCTTCTCACTATCTCTCAACTGTCCCCTCTCACTGTCTCTCTTGGAGAGTGCATCAACCCTATGGCAAATATTTTTTTTTTAAAGACATTTTTACTTTAGTGCTTGTGTGCTTGCCAGAGAGACCGAAAGCAAGAAATCACTCCCCAGGAGGGATGGCCACACCATAATCCCTTCTCTATTCTCCTCTCAGGATCTTGGGCACGCACGCTACATGCCCGACATGAGTTTTAAGCTGCTGGGTCTGGGACTTGAACTGCAGGCAACTACATGAGCGTCCAGCAACATAACCATTATGTCATTTGCTAGTCCCTGGCAAAAACTTGAAAAAAAATTTACACTATTTAATTTTAGGAAAGAGTAACTATTAATACATAAAACTTCTTGGGAGATCTTTTACTAGGACATTGAATTTACCTTTCTTATATTCATTGTTATTTTGACCAGAATAAAAAATATTTTTCTCTCATGGTACGTTTTTTGGCCTGGTGGCTATATACACTCGACAGAGGGAGACAGAGGCAAAAAATGACAAAACAAGAAAGCAGCCCCCTATTGGGAATAGTCATGCCTTATTCTCTTCTACTCCACCCCTTGTTCCTTTTGGGGTTTTGAGCAGGCATGTACATGTACCTGGCATGTTCCTCAAGCCTCTGGGTCCAGAATTTGAACCACCTGGTCTGCCATGTGAGCTCTAGCTGCCTTAACTACCAGGCCACAATTTTTTCATAATATGTGTTTTCTAGAATTACTTTTTGAAGATCACCTTCTGCCTTCCCCCATTTTTACTGGTTACGTTTTGGCAATTCCTGCTTGGACTATGACTTTATTTATGCAATTTGTAGTTGCATGCATAAGTTTTAATAACAGACCAAATCAAGTGAATTAAAGTCAGAGCTTGGGGGCTGGCAGGTGGCGTGGTGGTTAAAGGTGCTGGACTCCCACATGGTTGACTGCAATTCAAGTCCTGAACCTGGTGGCTTGCTTTCTCACTTTCCTTCTCTCTCTCTCTGTCTGTCTGTCTGATCAAACTGGAAAATAATAATAAATAAAGTTAAATAAACTAACTAACTAACTAAATAAATAAAGTCAGAGCTTGGGACTAAAAGTTTTTTTGTCTGATTTAGACATGATTTTCAAAGCACTTTACTGGGCTGGCAGGTGGTATGGAGGTTAGGTATTGGATTATCAAATGGCCAACTCCACGGTTTGAGTCCCTGACCCAGTCAGTGGCTTGATAGTCACAGCAGGCATGTGTGTGTGTGTGTGTTTGTCTAAAATTCCAAGAGGAAAAGGGATTGTGGCATATCCCCCCAAGATGATTTCTCACGTTCCCTCTCTGTTTTTCTCCAGTAAGCATGCACACCCTGTAGCAGAACCTGGGAAAAAGCACTTTATTTTACCTCCACAGTTTTAAGAATAAAGTGATAAATTCAGTATATATCATGATATTACAAATACAGAATGCACATCTATAGGATTACCCCTTAAATTATATTAAGAGTATTACTGTATTGTTATTATACGAACTGTTGGGTGGTGTGGTGGTTAAGGCACTAGACTCCCACCTAACTGATCACAGTTTGAGTCCTGAACTTGGTGGCTTGCTTTCTCACTCTCCCTCTTGCTTGCTCTCTGTCTTTCGCTGGTCAAACTGAAGAATGGTAATAATAAAATAAAAATAGTTATAAAAAAAGTATTACTGTATTATTATAGTCAAAACTGTCTTAGAGCTGATGAAAAATATATAATCAAGTTTTTTTCTCATTTTGTTTCCACAGGTTCATGAAGTGTATAAAATTTATATATTTTCTCTTTTTCTTGGATATTTACTGCAGTTTGAGAATCCAGCTTTATTGGTATCTCCTTTATTAAGTTTAGTAGCAGCCTTAATGTTTGCTAAGTGCCTTCAGGTAGGTAGAATTCCTGTTTTGTTAATCATGGTATTGATTTTGGAATTGTTAATATTTTATACCTCACTTTGTTTATGCTGCTTTTTTCCCCACAGCTGAATGTGAAGAAAGGAACTTTTATAGCTAAAATAATAAAAGTGATTAATTTTTACTTGGTGTGTACCCTAACAGTGACTTTGAATATTATAATAAAGGTAAGTAACTGTCTGAAATTTATGTAATAAAACAGATTGAAAAATGAAATCAGTGGATTAGATTTTTTAAGAATTATTTTTAATTTTAGATAAATATATATATATAAATCTTTAAAAAAGAATTATTTTATATTTAACTTTACTTACTTACTTATTTATTTAAATTTGACCAAATAGGGACAGAGTGAGATAGACAAAGAGAGAGAGGGAAAGTGAAAAAGCAAGCCGCCAAGTCTGGGATTCAAACTGCGGTTGGCCACATGGGAGTCCAGTCCCCTTAAACACAATGCCACCTGCTGGCCCTGGATTAGATTTAATGAGGATAATGAGATAGCAAGATATAGACTTTGTACAGTAGAAATTTGAGATCATGACTGGCATATTGGATAAGAAAAGAGAATTCTGATTTCTTTTAACGGATTATTGTTATTTAATTTTATTCATCATCATTTTAAAAATTTGACCAGAGAGAGACAGAGAGTGGGAAAGTGAGAAAGCAAGCCACCAGGTCTGGGGCTCGAACCACAGGCAACCATGTGGGAGTCCAGTGCCTTAGTTACCTTGCCACCTGCTGACCCCCTGATTTTTTTTCTTTATATATAAAATATAAAAGGAAATACACTTTGTTTTTCATTTAATATAAAATGTCAGGTCAGGGACCAGCAGATAGGGTGGTGGTTAAAGTGCTGGACTCCCACATGGCTGACCATGATTCAGTCCTGGATCTAGCAACTTGAAAATCATGCTGGATATGTATGCCTGCATGCCTAAGATCCTGAGAAGAGAATGGAGGTGAGGGGATTGCAGCATGGCTATCTCCCCTGGGGAATGATTTCTTTCTTACCTTCTCGCTGCCTTTCTGGTGAGCACACACATCCTGTGGCAAAAACCTAAGAGACTAAAGAAAATTTTAAAATAAAATATTAGGCCAGCAGGCAATCTGGTGGTTAAGGCTGCTGAATTTCACATACCTGATCATGTGAATCAGGTCCTGGACCTAACAGCTTCTAAAACATACTGAACATGTGCTAAATGCCCAAATTCCCAAAGAGAGAGAGATGGAGAGAGGAGATTGTGGTATGCCTATTCCCCATGAGGAGTTCTTTCTCACCTCTCTGGTGAGTGCACATGCCCTCTGGCAAATTAAAAAAAAAAAAAAGTCATCCTTATCCAGTTAACATTAAGTGATATGTGAAATAAACTGAAAACACTTACTAACAGTCTTCAGAAGAGTTGGTGAATTACTTAGGCCATATGTGGTAAGGTTGAAAACCTCATCGTAGGTTTATATGTAAGCATAGGTAAAGTGATTGACAAATCTCATTGCTTTTTCATAATTATACCATGTTTTATTAATATTTTTGTTTTGTCATCTTGTTATCTTTTCTTTATTATTGGAAAAAGCACTTTGCTGGAAGCCCTTTGCATAGCTAATATTTGTTTAACTAGTATTTTTTTTTCCTAGATGTTTGTCCCTCATAAAGAAAATGGGCACATGCTGAAATTCCTTGAAGTAAAATTTGGGTTGAATGTAACTAAGTAAGTTTTAGATTATGTAAATTTACCTAAATCTATACCATTCAGAAGATAAAGTACAAAAATACTCAATGTAGGGGAGTGTATATTTTTTGGGTCATTGGAAAAATCATGATGCATGTTTGCCTAGAAAAATGTATCATGACTTTTTGATGACCCAGTAATTACATACCACTCTAAAATGATTGATTTTGGATATTACAGTATCTAAAAGAAATATGACATTAATATTTTTAAAAAATATATCTGAGATGGGGCCAGCAGGTGGCATGGTGGTTGAGAGCGCTGGACTGCCACATGGCCAACTGTGGTTCAAATCCTGAGCCTAGTGACTTGCTTTCTCACTTTCTCTCACTCTCTCATTCTGTCTCACTCTGGTCAAATTGAAAGAAATAAATGGATAAATAAAGTTAATAATAAAAATAATTAAAATATATATATATCTCAGAGCAGGCAACGGCATGGTGGTTAAGAAGGCTGAATTCAGGGGGCCCACAGGTGGCGTGGTGGCTAAGGCCGCTGGACTCTCATGTGATCAACTACAGTTCCAGTCCCAGACCTGGTGGCTTTCTTTCTCATTTTTCCTCTGTCGCTCGCTCTGTTCCTCTTTGGTCAAATTAAAATAAGTCAATGAATAAAGTTAAATAAAATAATAATAATTTTTTTTGAGAGATTTTTTTTGCTATAGGGCGCGTGCGCTCTTCAGACAGACAGAGAGAGACACAGAGACAGAAAGCAAGAAATCACCCCCCAGAGGGGATGGTCACGCCGCAATCCCTTCTCCTCCATTCTCCTCTCGGGATCTTGGGCACACACGCACATGCGCCCGGCCTGAGTTTTAAGTCACCAGGTCCAGGACGCGAACTGTGGTCGACTACATGGGAGTCCAGCGACATAGCCATTACACTAATTGCTGGTTCCCTATAAAATAATTATTTAAATAAAAAATAAAGGAGGCTGGGTTCTACATGGCTAATGGCACAATTTGAGTCCCAGAACCGCTATTTGAAAAACATGCCGGACATGAATGCATGTTTGCTCAAAACCCCAGCAGAAGAAGAGTCAGTAACCCTGCCCCCCAGAAAGTGTCTTTTCACTTTCTTGTTCTGTCTTTCTCTCAATCCCCATGTCAAGTGCAGGCACCCTATAACAAATATAAAAAATAGATCTCATTTAAATCTTATAAATATAATGAACTTTACTAGATTAGAGTAGTTTAAGGCTGCCTTATCCCATGATGAGAAATAATGATACAACCTAAGATCAGAATAAATATTTTGAGGGAGCCAGCAGTTGGCGTAATGGCTATGTCACTGGACTCCCACGTAGTCAACCGCAGTTCGCGTCCTGGACCCGGTGGCTTAAAACTCCTGACAGGCGCGTGTGCGTGCGTGCCCAAGATCCTGAGGGGAGAATGGAGGAGAAGGGATTGTGGTGTGGCCATCCCCCCTGGGGGATGATTTCTCGCTTTCTGTCTCTCTGTCTCTCTCTGGCAAGTGCACTCACCCTATAGTAAAAAAACCTCTTCAAAAAAAAAAAATGAGTCTTTGACATTTTACAAAGAATCTAAACAAATATTATCAGAAGATTAAAAAGCAGCTCTTAAGACAGCTATTAGTCAGGCTCAAGGACACACTGTTATAAAGTTTTCCTGTAAGTTACTGTTCTCCATTGCGGCTGCTACTCGCTCTTTGTCGTTTATCTGCCTGTTGATATCTTCTTCTGTTGAGTGAGTTCCTTCAGAAATGTAGATTTTCAGCTTATGTTTAAACGGTAAACACTGCTGAAGTTTTACTCTTTTTAACACTATTTTTAGAAAGATTTATTTTATTTAATTTTACCTATCCATTCATTTATTTTAATTTGACCAGAGAGAGAAGGAAAGTGAGAAAGCAAGCTACTAGGTCCAGTACTTGAACTTTGGTCAGCCATGTGGGAGTGTCCAGCACCTTAACCACCATGCCACCTGTTGGTCCCCTGAAGTTTTTTTCTTAAGCACAGCCCAATAAGAGTCACCAAAGAGCAATGAGGTACTGTTGGCATGAACCTGATAATGACCATGCAGTTATCCTCATGTATCTACTGAACCTCCATGCAACTTTCCATTACCAGTTCTTCTAAAGTATTGGGCTTTTCAGGGTCCCAGATAGTTCGAATCAAATCATAAACCTCTAGTGCTTTCTCTTCCATGATCCAGGGCTGTCAGGCAGCTCCCCACTCAGAGAAGGCCAAGAGCCACAGGACTCTGCTCAGCGTCTGAGCAAGCAGCCCAGACACCCGCTCCATCCTCACACTCCACCATCCCTGGAAATTGTCCCACCTGAGCCACCTGACCAGGCACTGTTGGGAGGTGCCCTCCTTCTCTTTATCTCCCTTCCTCCCTCTATTTCTCTCTCCTCCTCTCTCTTATGCCCATACATATACATCCTCTGGCACACTAAAGTATCAAAAAAGGAGCAGAAGGTGGACAACAAAGTGTTCATTATAGTAAAGACTCTCATCTTGAGGTCATAATAATTAAATCAGAGCTGACAGCTTTTTGTAGCCTAAAGTAATTTTGTGCCTTTATTTTTTTGTTGTTGCTAAATCAGTTTTTGTTTAGTTTGTTTTTAGTTGCCAGAGGGTGTGTGCACTCAACAGACAGAGGCAAACAAATAGAGAAAGAAAGCAAAAGCACCCTCTAATTGGGATGGTCATGGTACAATCCCTTTCCCCTCCAGTCCTCCATCCTGTCAGGATTTGGGGCATGCATGCACATGTGCCCACTGTGTTTTCCAAGCCACTGGGGCTGGAGTTCGAACCATAGTCAGCCATGTGGGTTCTGATTCCCTTAACCACTAGGCTAAGGGGACACCCCTGTTTGTTGTTGAATTTAAAATGAAATAAATGACTTTTATGTACAGATAGTCTATTTGCATAACAGGATATATATTTACCAAAGTATTTCCCTAGTTCTAATATACCTCAGAACCTTATTCCTATTTGCTGTGATTATGTGAGATATTAGGTACTGTGCACAGAATTTCATGTTGTGATATCTCATAGTTTCTGAAGTGTTTGACAAGATTTAAACACTGGAGACTTTTGATGTATGAAACATGTTTTTATTTTGAGAGAGATTTTTGCTGTAGGGTACATGCGCTTTCCAGAGAGACAGAGAGAGAGACAGAGAGAGAGAGAGAGAGCGAAAAATTACCCCCCGGTGGAGATGGCCACACTGCAGTCCTTTCTTTTCCATTCTCCTCTGGGGATTTTGGGTATACATGCACATGTCCCTAGCATGAGTTTCAAGCTACCTGGTCTGAGACTCGAACTATGGTCGACCACATGGGAGTCCAGCACTCAATTACTCCACCCACTGGTCCATAAATCATAATACCTTTGTGGACTAGGATCAAAGGATCATTTGCCTATAAGGTTGGAGCTGTGTCTTTTTCAGGCATGTACATAGACCTGACACATAGCAGGCACTCAGTAAAAATGGTGTAGACTTCCATAAGTGGCTGAATTTGGACTTTCCACTGACTTTTCCCTTAACCCTGGGTGCATTCTAGAATCTTCCAGGATTAAAGACTGCATTCAGCCAGTGTCTATTAGTTAATGTCTTGTATCGCCCCTTTATTCAGCAGGTCAGGTACTAGATTTACACCACAGGATAATATAGTATGTGTTTGGAGGATAAGGCATGGAACTTAAGACCATTGCCCTCTTAGGCTGCCCCCTGATCTGGTGATTAAGGCAGCTAGATCCCACATGGCCGACCCAATGGTTTGAATTGTGGCCCCTGATGGCTTGAAAACCATGTTGGATGCCTGTGAAGCATGCCCCAAATCCTGACAGGATAGAGAAATGGAGAAGGGGTTGTAATGTGACCCCACCCACATGGGGGGTACTTTTACTTCCTAGCCTCCTGTCTCTATTGAGTGTACATGCCCTTTGGCAGTTAAAATGAGAAAAAAAAATACTTTCATTTCTATAGTTTAAAACAGCTGTGATTGGGGCCAGCAAGTAGCATGGTGGTTAAGACACTGGACTCCCATATGGGCGACCATGGTTCAAGTCCCAGACTTAGAAGCTTGAAATTCATACCAAGCACACGTGTGTGCATGCCCAAAATTCTGAAAGGAGAATGGATGAGAAGGGATTGTGGTGTGGTCATTCCACTGAGGGGGGATTTCTCACTTTCTCTCTATGTCTCTCTGGTGAGTGCACACACCCTATGGCAAAAATCTCTTTAAAACAAAACAAAAACAGCTATAATTTTAATATCTTGCTTTTTGTCTTCTATAGGAATTTTACAATGAATTGGCTCCTCTGCCAGGAATCTCTGCAAACTCCATCTCAAGATTTCTTTTTGCGATTGACACAGACTTCTTTGCTACCATTCTATATTTTAGTGTTAACCATTTGTTTTATTTCTATGATGCAGATTCTTTTTAGAAGAATTAAGTAAGTATTTGTGAGGATCAATCACATTACTAACTAACATTTTTTTTTTTTTGAGAGGTTTTTGCTATAAGGCGCATGTGCTTGCCAGACAGAGAGAGAGAGACAGAGAAATAGAAAGCGAGAAATCACCCTCCAGGGGGATGGCCACGCCGCAATCCCTTCTCTTCCATTCTCCTCCCGGGATCTTGGGCACGCATGCACATGCGCCCGGCGTGAGTTTAAGCCACCGGATCAGGGACGCAAACCGCGGTCGACTATGTGGGAGTCCAGCGACATAGCCATTACGCTAACTGCTGGTTCCACTAACATATTTTGAAAATCGCGAACCAACTTGTGACCTGGTGGTTAAGGTGGCTGCATCCTACATTGCTGAATGTGTGATTCACGTGCTGGACATGGTGGCTTGAGAAACGTGCCAGGCACAAGTGTGTACTTGCCCAAAATCCTGTAGGGAGAAAACAGTGGAGGGTAGAGGATTGTGGCGTTACCATGTCCCATGAGGGATGCTTTGTTGTTTTTTCTCTCCCTTTCTATTTCTCTTTGGTGAGCACATATGCCCTCAGGCAAAGTATAAAAAGAAAGTATGAAATACCTTTTTCTTTTCTTTAGTTTTTCTATGTGGTGCATGCGCTCATTGGAGAGAGACATACAGAGACGGAAAGCAAGAAAGCTTCTGCCTTGGTATAATCAATTGAACTTTTGCAGTTTTACTTTTAAACTTTCTAAATTCACTAATTTATTCCAATAATCTCTTAATGTAAGAATAATTTTACTTTACTGAAATTAAATTTGTTTTTAGTTTTTTTTCCTTTTTTTCTTTTTTTTACTATAAGCCACATGCATTTGCCAAAGAGAGACAGAAAAAGACAGGAGAAAAGTGAAAAATTACTCCCCGGGGAGAATGGCCACACCTCTTTCTCTTTTCCTCTGTTTTTCTCCTGGGGTTTTTGGGCTCACGTGCATATGCAAGCATGAGTCTCAAGCCACCAGATCCAAGACTTGAACTGTGGTCAGCTATGTGGGAGTCCAGCACCTTTACTACTTGCTGGCCTCAACCTAATTTTTTTTTTTTTTTACCTTATTTTATTTCAGGTACTTTTGTACATTCAAACACACTATTTAGTTTGCAAAGTGAATATTCCAGCATGTTTACATTTCTCCCCAGTCCAGTTGATAATACTGTAAAGTTATCTTCAACAGATAGTACACATTTTTTTGTCTCATTAATGCTTTGCTTAAAACTTACAGCCTGGAAACTGGTTAGTATTCTGTTCAAATAGTAGGTACATGAACCTATTGATAGCTCAAGACAGGACAGAAACTCTTAAAACCGGATAACAAAGCCTAGAAGAAAAGCAGCATTATTTTAGTCAAAAGTCATAGAATGCTGTTTCACCAGTTCAGTCTCATGTACTTAATCTATCTTCTGTTGTGGTTCGATCTTCCCGATTAAATTCTGGGATATAATATTCAACTCTAGACTTTTCCCCATGATTAAGTTGGTCATTTTCTTAGTTTTTGAATGCTTATTTCTGTGTGACTACATTTAATTTTCCTGACATAGCACTCCCTTGAGAACTTCTTGGAGATCTGGTCTGGTGCTGGTAAATTCTTTTGGGTTTTGTTTATCTGAGACTGTTCTTGT